GATGTAGGATCACATTTTGACTCATAAGCCCACCAAATCGCTTCCAAGTTCTTGGAACGCGATCTTCACATTTGTACTGAAAATTTTGATACATGAAATTCAAAGTTTGACCTGATATTTACATAGTTCAGCTTGGGAAAATTTTGCCCAGGCGTTCAAATATTTAAAATTTGGAAAAATGCCCTTTTTCATAGTAAAACGTACAATTTTGGAAAGTTCAAAAACAGGGAATTTGTGTATGTGTGTGTGAGCTATGACAAGAGAGGAGAGGCAATTTGTTTTTTGAATTTTATTTTCCGGCATCAGCTGATCGCGCCGGGCGCCGCTCGGTCTCGGCCCGACTCCGCCGCCGCGCTCTGCATGACTCACTCCTTCCTTCGCGTGAAACAAACAGCTGTTCATTTTTAAAAAAAAAAACTTAAAACGGAGAATTTGATTCTTCGTTACACGGGGGTCCTCCCCCGGCAAATTTTTAAAATCGGACATTTGATTAACGCAATATAATGCTACTTTATTTAGGTTATTTCAGAGAAAAATTTGGTGGTTCAAAAGCCTCTTGTGCTACCATATTTTTCGAAAGGTGTAGGGAGTTAAAACAAAGAAAAATTAAACTAAGGCGAGAAAAAGTTGAAAAAAGTAAAAAGAAAATTTTACTATTCTTTTCGCGCGCCTTTTTCTTCGTCCTTAAATTTTTTACCGATTTCAATTCTATGATCCTTAAAAAAGCATGCACGTGTCTCAAAATTGTGCGCCTCTCAAAACTTTGCGCCCCTAGGCAGCTGCCTAGGTCTGCCTTGTGGGATATCCGGGCCTGCCAGAAAGTAAAAGCTCCCTGAGGCTCATATGCCCCTAGGACAGGTTGCGGATAACAGAGCTTTGAGACAACGATCACAATAATGGCTGGGCGAGAATTTGAAATAGGGAACATAACGACGGTGAAACTGCCAAACCACGTATCTCGGTTTGCGACGTCGCAGACTTCCTCTCATACTTTATTTTTTAAATGAAAAACTACTTAACATCTAGTCTTGAAAATTTCTGTGATTTTTCCTCTTTGTGCGGAGAAAATTCCGTGAAAATTTCAAGGAATGATATTGATTTGGTCTACTTCAAAAAAATAAAATGTGAGCGTAGATTTGTAAACACCGCAAACGAGATACGTGGTTTGGTAGTTTCACCGTCGATAACTGTCCCTGGTCTTTTATTAACAAATAAATGTGTTATCTACCCCTATCAATATAATACAGGCCCCTTATGGCCTAAATATAAATTTCTTCATAAAATTTGTTGAGCAAATTGTCCGATATTCGCGTGTTTTTATATTTTTTTTAAAATTTTGAACAATGCCGTCCGTCACGCGTCTCTATTCCAGTTGGACGTATTTCTGCCGAACAGAACTATGTGCATTATGACGTGAGCCCTGTTGTGCATATGTTCTTATGGGTCTCAGGTCTCATATCTTAATGCACATAGTTCCGTCTGGTAGAAATACGGCCAAATTTCAGAGTTTGCGCCGACGCAGCTTGAGGATTTAAACGTTTTTCGAGAACTAAAACATCATTCAATGTTTAAAAACGTTCCTTCATTGTAAACAAGAAATGAGAGTGAAAGAAATAAACGAGATAATTTTTTTACAAGAGGAGCAAAAGATCACCAAAAAGCGCGTAAGTAGCGCTCACGTAATCCAACCGGCGGCGTCTGTGTTGCCCAACAGTGCCCTGAAGTGGGAGGCAATGTTTTTCTTTAGCAGGTTGAAGTATATCGACGGTGAAACTACCAAACCACGTATCTCGGTTTGCGACGTCGCAGACTTCCTGTCATACTTTATTTTTTAAATAGAAAACTACTCGACGTCAGTTCGTGAAAACTTCCATGATTTTTCCTCTTTGTGCGGAGAAAAATCTGTGGAAATTGTAAGGAATGATATTGATTTGATCTCCTTCAAAAAAATAAAATGTGATTGGAGATTTTTAAACACCGCAAACGAGATACGTGGTCTGGTAGTTTCACCGTCGATATGGTGAATCAAGACAACATCAATCTTGCCGGGCCGCGGAAAAACGCCGGATAGACATCCGGCTGTTGCCAAATTTCCCCTATGAAACATTCGTTTTTTAGGAAACGTATGAGTATTTTTCCCTCAAACTTTCAGATATTGTGGCTTGAATTGCAAATGAAATCCCCCTAAAAATTGGGAGAAAATGTAGCAAAGGAGGTTTGGCAACGCCTAAAGGTTCCTATGGTGCTTTTGCTCAGGACGGCAGAGTTTGCAAGTATTTATTCTGTTCACTTGGGATTACAAATCCGTCACGATCGTTCCTTCTTTTTTTTTCTTCTCTTTTTTTTATTGAAATCCTGCATGCCATTTATTGGAGGGTATCAGCCAAGCTAGATATCTGATGCTCAATTTTTGGTGCCAAGAATGGCGGCAGGTGCTCCATGTTTGTTTAGAAACTTAAGCCCGTCAGGGAAAGCTGTGTGAGAAAAAAAAATCCGAATAATTGGGGCCATGTGCGTTTCTAGATCCCAGAAACCAACTGGAAATAAGAAAACACAACTGCCAGCGAAAAGAATTGATTCTCCGACTTTTTCCACCTTAAAATGTCCCCTATCTTCTAAACCCCCCTGTCGCCACCCTTTCAACTACCCCCTTTTCACCCCTTCAGCCCTTCACTCCCTGAAAGGCTTTGGGAGGATAGGGGACTTTGGCGGCTGGGTGTCGCAGAGCGCCAGAGAGCGCTATAAAAGCGGTTTTATACATACATACAAATGTCCCCTATTTGAAATGTTCGCCCGGTTACTAAAGTCTTTTCTCAAACTTCTCATTTCTATAGGAAGCCCCCAGTGGAGTGGCGTGAATTGCGATTTATCGATTGTGATGTCATTTAAACCTATGAAAAAAGATCGATTATCAGGGTGTTCGCAGCGAAAACCTTAGTAATCGATTCTTTACCATAACTTCAAATGGCGAGATATCGATAATCGATTATTCACGCCACGCCACTGGACGCCCCCCACGGTTTACGTAGAGAGTAGATTCCGCGAATGTTTGCCACCGAAAATCATACCCTCTCTAGCAAGCCCTACAAAAATGAATGCAGTATCTGTTTTCACATTTTTCTCATGCGATAACGCTTTTTCTGTACGAAAGCTTCTGATGGAGAGTTAGTTAGTTAGTTTGTAGTTAGTATTTTGAGACATTCAGCGTCACAGGCTATTAACGTCTTTACAGAGAATTTTGAAGAAGGGAGTATATACGAAAATTTAGATTTTTAAATTAAGAGAGATGAAGGGTTTCAGTATTTTGGTAGTAATATTGGGTTCGTCGCATGTAAGTGGGTTTGTATTTCTGTTGATTGTAGGGAAGCAGATCTGTGATTGGAGATAGCTGAGGGCAGAGCAGTCCATAAGCACATCCATTAGCTATCATATATACAGGGTAACCCAGACCTACCGTACCAGGCCTTTTTTTCGGTTAATTTGGGTCGCACGAAGTCCAGGATTGCGGGGTTGAATAGGGAATCTACCCCAAGGAATCCGAATTTCATGGTGCCAAAGCCCCCCTGGCGCCCCTTGGGGAGTAAAAGGGGGGTCCGTACTTCAAAAGTCAGGGTTTATGTCAAAATTTTGAAATTATTTCATCGGAATCAGAACGTACGAAACTTTTTAACTTAAATCGACACCATGAAATCCAAAATCGGTCCACCCGTGTCCAAAATACCGACCCCTAAAGGCGGGGGACAGAGCCCCCTTTCAAAAAAATTCAAGTTCGTCAAATTGACGTGGAGACTCGGAAAAAATGTGTATCCATGGGTAATCGACCCCAAGGAATCCGAATTTGAGGGTCCCGTTGTCCTCAGAGACTTTTCTGATGGGGCACAGGGGTAACCTCCAAACCGGTTAAATTTAAAAGTTCAGAGTCCCCCTGTGCCCCATCAGAAAAGTCTCTTAGGACAACGGGACCCTCAAATTCGGATTCCTTGGGGTCGATTACCCATGGATACACATTTTTTCCGAGTCTCCACGTCAATTTGACGAACTTGAATTTTTTTGAAAGGGGGCTCTGTCCCCCGCCTTTAGGGGTCGGTATTTTGGACAAGGGTGGACCGATTTTGGATTTCTTGGTGTCGATTTAAGTTAAAAAATTTTGTAAGTTCTGATTCCGGTGAAATAATTTCAAAATTTTGACATAAACCTTGACTTTTGAAGTACGGACCCCCCTTTTACCCCCCAAGGGGCGCCAGGGGAGCTCTGGGACCATGAAATTCGGATTTCTTGGGGTAGATTCCCAATTCATCCCCGCAATCCTGGACTTCGTGCGACCCAAATTAACCGAAAAAATGCCTGGTACGGTAGGTCTGGGCCACCCTGTATAAGCTCCAAGACCTCCTAAATTTGCGTATCTGGTAACGCTTAGTTCCAGCGTTCACCGGGGGTGATTTTCATGATTTTTGCGATTATCGACAGGCAACTATCTCTAGATGAGCCCGCTGTATTCAGATTTTGAAAATATGACCCAGGTTTTTTTATATTACGTGGTAAAGTTGCGAATAGACCACTAGAAAAGGTACGAATTCAAGCATTGTGATACATGTTTCTTAACCAGAACTTCACATAGAGCACGATTCGCGCAACGTAAACTAATGAAACAAACTCCAAACGAGGATATTAACGTTTTTAATTCACATTGGTTACGAGGAATTTGAACTGCCCGCTCACAAGAAACTCAAAGCTCTACGTGAGTAAGATCGCGCACTACAACGGTTTCAACAAACTTCTCAATCGAATAATGTTCATATCCCACCATGTGTTGTTCAAACCATAAGTAATTTGCTACAGCTGAGTCAAAGCGTCAAGATTGAGGTTGCCAGATTTTTATATCGCAGAGACTGTCATGATTACGTTTAGCGCACGATGTGAATCACGCAGAGCATTGAGTTTTCATCAGCGCGTGGTTTGAATTCACGCATCAAGAATCATTAAATATCTTTGGAGGGAGTTGATTTCGGTAATTTTCGTTGTGCGCGTTGTGTTTTACGTAAAATTTTAATTAAGAAACATGTATCAGAATGCTGAAATTCGTACCTTGTCTAGTGGTCCATTCTCCCACTTAAACAATGTAATTTTGTATTTTTTGTCATAGTTCGTTTGAGCGTTCTACTGGGCCGATTTCCACGATTTTTGCGGTTATCGAGATCGACAGGTGATAGTCCCTAGATGAGCCCGCCAGTGGCGTGGCGTGAATTGCGATATATCGATTGTTATGCCATTTAAACCTATGAAAAAAGATCGATTATCAGGGTGTTTGCAGCGGACACCTTAGTATTCGATTCTTTACCATAGCTTCAAATGGCGAGATAGCGATAATCGATTATTCACGCCACGCCACTGTAGCCCGCTGTAATCAGAATTTGAAAATAGGACCCAGGTTTTTTTTATATACATATAAGAGTAGACCGGAGAGCTTAGGAAGGGGGGCAAAATTTGAAAATCCCGCCGATGAAAAATGGCGGGAGTTTCAAATTTAGCAGAAAAGTGAAGTAAGTAGCAGAAATGTTGAATCTTTGTCTGTTAGTAGGGTAAGTGAATCGAAGGTATGTTCCTATGCTACAGACTATCCAAAAGGGACGAAACGCTCCGTTCTGTCTTGTGTAAGTCTTGGCGTGAAGTTTGAAATAAATGCCGATTTTTTCATTCGACTCTTATTGGTCCAATTGCTCCCGGCCAGAGGGAGATTGGAGAATTGAGAGTCGGTTATGAAAATCTTTTCATTTTTTTGGTCGTTCTTTTGTCGACGCGGCCCTGAGAGAACGCGAAGCGTCCTCTGGGGGTTGGGCCGCGTAGCGGCCAGGGGGCAACGGGGCATAGCCCCCTAGTAGCATCTACGGATACAAACTTTGGTGCCTGCGGGTCAATTGTTGATCGTTATCGAATGACGTTGGTTGGATTGATGAATAGAATTGCTGAAAAAAGGGATTTAATTGATGAGGGTCATTCGACAAGATTCAACAATCCAGGCGTTGGAGGAATCTTAATCGATACGAAGATCCAATACATGTTACCACCCTGAATACATGGCACGAAGATAATTGTAATTCGAACCTGAGTTATTCCAAATTTCTTACATTTGAAACATACATCGAGGACGAGCGTTGCACAAGAAATCTAACATTACCAAAATGTCAAAGATAACAATCCATTTTTTATGGGGACTATTGGATATTACCCCTTGAATTTCTCAAGCAGGGCCGGATTTACCTACTTGCCGCCCATGGGCCGCCTGTATTTTGCCGCCCTCTTCTCATTCATTTTAAAACATCAATAAAAACCATCAAGTGAATGTGCCGGAGGAGGAGGGGTGCATAAGACGCGTTTACCTACTCGTGGTGGATACATTTTTTGCGAAAGCCCTGTCAACACTACTAGCAAAATTTCACGGAACTCGACCCAAAAGTTAAGTTCCATAAACCTATCTCTGTGTGAACAAGGTCCTCCGTTTATGAGAAATGAACCAAAAAATTATGAAAGAACGAACATAAATGGACGTATTTATGCTAAATGGAACTATGTGCGAGTGGAAAGATGGGGTGCGCTCGTTAGTTGAGGGCCATAAGAATGAATAGGAATTTAACAGCGCCAGTGACGTCAGCGGCAATGATCGAAACGGCACACGACGAGAAGATTGTTGGCGGGACTCTTTAGCTCATGAGCCTTGTCCTCAACGCTCTTGTCACATGCCCAAGGCTCACGAGTGGGCGCTCAGTTCCTTTTGATTTAATGCCAAATCCCGCTTTTCCATTTTCTCAAAAGGAACTATATCCAACTTTACATGGTTTCTTATGCAGCTTGCACAAACACCCCCCATCTTTCCACTTGCACATAGTTCCTTTTAGCATAAATACGCCCAAATGTGGTTTAATAATTTTAACTTCCGCCGCGCTGATCGCACTGTGTTTGGCACAATGCGTAAAGTATTCCTGAAGTCTTGTAGGCGCTATGCGTTTCACGCCAACCGCTCCTGACCGCATTGTGTTTGGCGCAATGGGTGAAGTATTCATGCAGTCTTGTAGGCGCTAATATGTGTTATATGCCGACCACTGCGCCGAGGGCTTATCCTTTTCATCTCAAGTCCTCGTCATCATTCCTCTCTGTCCTGAGCTCCGGGCCAAATTGCGTGTTTAGTTCCTCTCTTAACTCGACTAATTAAAGATGCTGATGCTGTCTCTTGTATCGCCGAAAAACGACAAAATTAGAAATTACTGTACTCTCAGGAAAGAGAGATTTTATTCCCTTTTCTCATTGATAATTTTTTCCTCTGAATCCGATTTTTTTTATGCCTACATTTAAAAAAAATGCAAAATTTGCCGCCCCCTAAATTTTCCGCCATGGGCCGCGGCCCATGTGGCTACCCCCTTGATCCGGCCCTGTGCACAAGATAAAGTTGCGACTGACAATCTCTGTTAATTCCAAAGAGAAATATTAAAAAATTCACTAGCGAACTAATAATACGTCGCAAACTGATTGCGGTGGACGCACGGGTCGTTAGTATGTTGGAATTTTTTCCGCTAACGTGCGTTAAAAACTCAGCATTAAGCTGAAAATTCTCACAACAGAGGGAAAAACTCCTTTGGAGTACTGGTTTCTCTCATAGAGGACTTGAATATGGACGTAACTAGTGTTGCACCAAACAGCATATCTCTATGAGGGAAACCAGTACTCCAAAGGAGTTTTTCCCTCTGTTGTGAGAATTTTCAGCTTAATGCTGAGTTTTTAACGCACGTTAGCGGAAAAAATTCCAACATACTAACGACCCGTGCGTCCACCGCAATCAGTTTGTGTAAAAATCGCCTGGCAAGGCTTATGCGGAGCTGTTTGGATAATCGCTCACTAGATGGCGCAAGTTTACTTGCCGCCAGCGTCCGCTTGCCCAAGTCTCGGGCTGGTTTTCACGACCTCTCGAGCTTGGTAGCAGGAAATTCGGGGGGCTGCACTGGACTGATGATTGGTCCATCAAGGCCGATATGCGTCGGCAGTTGCCTTCCTGAACGCGGACGTATCTAGTATTGCATCAAACAGAAGAGTACCTATATCGAAAAAGTATTGCCACTGGGCCCCATGGAGAGACTTTAGGACCCAAAAATAGTGGTGCTTTGTTTCGGTTCTTGTGGATGGGAGGGGGGTCATTGCCAACTTTCGACGGTTTTCACCAACCGCACTTGCTGCCAACCTCACTACATCTAAGATAATTTTTCTCAAATATTGCACACGATTAGCCTTAAAAATATGTAAAGATGTCGCAATAGTGCATTTGAGTAAATTTCTCGTTACGATAAGCAAAGAAAACTACATTTTGAGTCATTTTGCATTACATTAATTTATGGCGTCCGCCATTTTTGGGTCCTAAGGGCTCCATTTAGCCTAAGATGGCTGAGCCAATCAGAGGTGGTAACCCCAGTGGCCATACTCTCTCAATATAGGTACTCTACCAAACAGCATATTTTTATAAGGGTAACCAGTACTCCAAAGGAATTTTTCCCTCTGTTGTGATAATTTTCAGCTTAATGCTGAGTTTTTGACGCACGTTAGCGGAGAAAATTCCAACATTATAATACGTCGGTAATAAACAGACAACGTTGCACCGCGAGTGTGTTGTTTTCTCAGCATCATTGTGAGAGCTAGTTCCTGCCTCCCCGAACACATAGCTAGAGCGAAAACACTGAGTTTTCCAAATTTTTTCCTCTAAAGTTTTACGCACTATCTTCCTTTCCATCAAGCACACTCCGTCACGCCTTTTTTTTTAAAAACTTTTTACCTCACAACCGCTTACTTTTTTTTGGGAACACCGGGTTCCCCATGCGATCGCGCACATAGAAAACTACGCTTGTGGGGATCGCAGAAAGAGAAGATCAAATGTCTGTTAGATGGCTGCATTGCATTCTCACACACTCGCGGAGCGTGTAATGACGGGCTCGAGTTGATGGACACATTAACCGTTGTAGATATAACCCATTTGGAGAAAGTTTTAGGCATAGTAAAATAAGGAAACAGGGATTGGCTATGTCAGTTATGACTATTTAACTTCCTATTCAGCTGTCAGTGTGAATTATTTCTTCAACATTCTTTCAGGATGAAGTGTTTTTTATTGGTGATTGTGTTCGTCCTATCTTTCGCCGGCGACGGAGAAAACATGTATCAGGTATGTTCTGATGTGCGGTTGGAAGATATGTTTCAGGTACGTTTTGCTGTGGTTAGGAAATATGTTTGAGGTATGTTCTGCCGTGGCTAGGAAAACTACCTGATCTGAACACAGCCGAATTCATCAAAGCACGAATTTTTCGAAAAACCTGTGATTTATTTCTTTAAATTGTACAGATTTATAATATATGTGTAAATATTCCATAGAAAATATCCGTACATTTTTTTATAGATGTGGTAAGTTCTTAGTGCGGCATAGTAAATTTTAGGCCCTAATTTTAAAGATTTCCCTTCACGAAAAAATTTTCATGACTTTAGGCTCGATTTGAAGTCAGAGGCTGCTTAAACGCCCAACTCTTTTTTTATACGCTGAGTTCCACGTCGGGTCAAATTCACCCGTATTTAAATACATTGATTTCGATAGTTTTCAAAGTATTATGTATGTTTTTTCTAGGTTTTGGAGGGTGAATAATAATTTTTTTTTTTTTATGGTAAATTTTTACCTTTTTGGTAACATACTGGCGCTTTCTCACCCCCTCCCCTCCTTATCCGACATGTGACTCGCCCACAAGAGATAAGTCAATTTCACCTGCTTTGGGATTTCTAGGGCTAGTGGTCAAAATAAAAGTTCCTTGACTTTTCTCAAATTTCAAATATAAAAGACACCTCAACACGCCTCGATGACGACGCAAAGATACAAGTATCAGTGCTTGATAAATGTCCATCTTGCATTTAGAATTTTGAAGGCTCGCCGGTTAGAGGCGATAGGTCGCAATGGAGATGTTGCACGTGTGAGGAATTTGCGGATTGATTGTTGATTCTTACGTAAAAGTTCGCGAGAAACACGACAGTGCCACTGGTTTTCTCTGAAATCAACTCTCAAGCTCAAAAAAAGCTCTCAAGTTGAGGCCATTATTGAGGGGATATCCCACGCTATCCTGAGAGTCCACCTCTACATCAAGACAAACTCTCCATGCGCAAAGATAGGGAGCAAATACATTGACGGGGCTGCCACTTTATTTGGGGACTCCAAAACTAAAAACACGGCAACCCTGCTAATGAATTTTCTCCCTATCTTTGCATGGAGAGTTTGTCTTAATGTAGAGGTGGACTCTCATGATAGCGTGGGATATCCCCTCAATTTTGGACTCAACTTGAGAGCTTTTTTTGAGCTTGGGAGTTGATTTCAGAGAAAACCAGTAGCACCATCGTGTTTCTCGCGAACTATCACACCCGAATCAATGGTCAAATCGCAAATCCCTCACACATGCAACATCTCCATTCTCCGCTCTATGCTGCTGATGAGATTCGGGAGGAAAAAAAAGCGAGACCTGACTACGTCTCGTAGCTCGTTGATGACGGCGCAGAGATACGACTATTCGTGCTTGATGGATGTCCGTGTTGCATCTGCAAAATTGAAGGCGCGATGGCGCAATGTATCGGCCTCGCATGCTCCGCTCCATGCTTTCACTGAGGAGCAGCTCAGATTCGACAGAGAAGTTAGAAAAAGGAGATTCGAATACGTCTCTCCTATCTTCGGCTGTGTTAATATTCGATTTACATCTTATGTCTGATTCTTTTTCCACGATGCATTGGTAGACCTACGCCTGAAGCTCGTATGTGCCGGCTCCATCACTGGCGTGGCGTGAATGATCGATTATCGATATTTCTCCATTTGAAGCTATGGTAAAGAATCGATTATCAAGGTGTTCGCTGCGAACACCTTATTTATCGATTCATTCCATAGGTTTAAATGGTAGATCAATCGATATATCGCAAAGCACGCCACGCCATTGGGCTCCATACAACTCGTGGCCCGCGGGAAATTTAATTGTTTTCAGGAGGCCTCGCGTTAATTTTGCTTTCAGGCAGTCAGGGTATAAGTAGCTGTCAGAACTTAGATAGTTAAGCCTGTTCTAAGTAAGTGGAGCCACAATTTCATGACTCATGGCAGTCCCTGGAGGCAGAGTTCACCATTTACTTTTTAAAGGAATTGTAAAAAAAAGATAAAGGTTATCTAAATAACGATGTACATAACAGCTGCATAACGACTTTATAACAAATATACTGGATTTTTGTTCAAAGTGCTCATTTTTAAATATCTCGTTATGAGATGGAAATTATGGTTGTTACATACACAGTACATACATAAATGGTGTTTAAATGTTGAGTGACGTTGAATGTCTTAAAATATACTAACTAACTAACTAACTCTTGGTATCAGTGTCGCGCGTATGTAAGTGGCGTGGCGTATTTTGCGATTTATCGATTTATCTGTCATTTAAACCTATGGAAAAGGATTGATATACAGGGTATCCGCAACGAACACCTTAATGATCGATTCTTTACCATAGCTTCAAATGGGGGAATATCGATAATCGATCATTCACGCCATGCCACTGGCGTACGTGCGTATTTGAGGGCAATTGACTTCTCTGGAGCCTCTCAGAGGCAGATTTTGTCAATAGCAATACTTCTGGAGGGGCCGGTTACTACTTCATCTTTACAATTTTGCGCCAGTGCGATCATGGGATGTGAGTTTTTTTTAGGGCATCCAATAATCCGCATTATTCGCAACGCAAGTTGTTCCTTCCAACTGTGCAGAGGCGGACCCAGCAACCTGGCAACACCGGATTCCCTCCATTTAAACCTATGCTAAATAATCGATTCTTGCCGTTTGAATTAACAGTAATTCACTGGGGGAAAAAAAAAAAAAACACATTGGATCTAGAGTCCAGACTCTTGAAAACATTGACAAAACAAGATAAAAAACTCTTGATTCAATCGGATTTTTGCTTGAATCAAAACGAAATCCGCTTAAATTAAGAGGCTTGGTTCTTGATTTAAGCTAGATTCTGATTGAATCAAGAGTACTCTTCCTTGTCGATGTTTTTAAGAATCTGGATTCTAGATCCAATGTGTTTTTTTCCAATGTTATCCAGCGCTATCTTGCCTAATGTCTATTGAGTGGCCCAATTTTACGTACACTGGGAGAATAATTCGGATAGGGGACATTTCAGGGCGGGAAAAGTCGAAAAATGAAGTTCATAATTTTCCTTGACAGTTGTGTTTTCTCATTTCTGTATGATTTCTGGGATCTAAAAACGTTCATGGTCCCGACTTTTTAAAATTTTTTTACTCAGTTATTCCAATTCAAATTTGAGCTGTTCGTGACTCACTTGAGCGTGACGGGTTTGAGTTTCGGAGTAAAAAAGCAGCACCTGCCGCCATTCTTGGAAACGGAACAAAATGAGCACCAGATATCTAGCTGGGCTGCTACCCTTTAACAAATTGCATGCATAATTCCAATAGAAAAACATATCAGATTAAAAAGAACGAACGTGACGGATTTGAAATCTCAAGAAACAGAATGATTACTTGCCAAATGATGTTGTCGCGATACCCGAACACTTCAACCTGCGAAAGAAAACATTTCCTCCCACTTCAGAGCATTTACTGGGCAACACCTACGCCGCACAGTGGATCGAGTCAATTAGAGAGGTCGGACATGAAATTTTAAACTAAAACTGCAAATTTTGATGTTTATTTCGTCACATTTTATATTTCGAGGGGTGCTTTAAGAAGAAAAGTTTACGAAAAAACCGATGGAACCACTTTCAGAACCTCAAAACTTTACATAAACGGAGTTTTAAGCGTTTAAAGTTTCCGAATTTTGTCCGACCTCTCCTATTGACTCGATCCACTGTGCACCGGCCAAATTACGAGAGCGCTACTTACGCGCTTTTTGGTGATCCTTCATGTCAATTAGTCTAGGTGTGACGGGCTTGAGTCTGATTTCATGATCGCTCTTACTCCGCTTGTAAAAAAAACTATCCTGCGGATTTTTCATCTTTTAAATCTTACTATATTAAAAAAATGTAAGCCGTTTTTGTGTGTGGGTGGTTTCACGATAACTGGAATAGTTTTGTCGCCGTAACAGACAACACATTTTTCGGTCATATTTTTAGTATAGTAATGATAATCACTCGAATTCATTTGCATTAATCTACACAGGGTTACGTATTATAACGCTTTTCAAAGATTTATCGCTAAACTTTTTAATTCTAATATACAAATGACCGAAAATGTGCTGTCTGTTACGCTGAATTTTTACCGCGTAACAGACAGCACATTTTCGGAATTTACATAATATTAATTGAGAAGTAGAGCAATAAATCATAAGAAAGCGTAATAATACGTAACCCTTTGAAGATTAATGCGAAAAAATTAGAATGGTTATCATTTCTAATAAAAATATGACCGGAGAATGTGTTGTCTGTTACGGCGACAAAACTATTCCAGTTATCGTGAAACCACCCGTGCACGTTTGTGTCGATTTGCTTTCTCATTGGCCCCTCATTAACATGATGGATAGATAGAATTTATTGATGCATACAACCTATAGTAAAAAGCTCTGGCACAAGTCAAATTTACAATTTATACAACAATTTAAGCAAAATGAAATTATACAGGTTCTCCGAAAAATTCTTTCAGACTATAATAGCAGGGCCGGGTTTACCTACTTGCCGCCCATGAGCCGCCTGTATTTTGCCGCCTCCTTCTCATTCGTCTTGAAACATCAATAAAAACCATCAAGTGAACGTGCCATCGAGGGTGGGGTGCATAAGACGCGTTTACTCGTGTTGAACACATGTTTTGGGAATGCCCTGTCAACACTACTAGCAGAAGTTAAGTTTCGTAAACCTATCTCTGTGTGGACAATGCCTTTCATTCATAAGAAATGAACAAAAAATTATGAAAGAACAAACACGAGTGCGGTTTAATGATTTTAACTTCCGCGGCCGCGCCGCGCAGACCGCACCGTGTTTGGCGCAATGCGTGAAGTATTCACGCAGTTTTGTAGGCGCTATGCCGCCATGCGTCTCACGCTGACCGCACTGTGTTTGGCGCAATGCGTGAAGTATTCATGCATTCTCGTAGGCGCCATCCGTTTCACGCTGACCACAATAACCGCACTGTGTTTGATGCAATGCGTGAAGTATTCGTGCAGTCTTGTAGGCGCTAATATGTGTTATATGCCGATCGCCGCGCCGAGGGCTTCTCCTTTTCATCTCAAGTCCTCGTCATCATTGCTCTCTGCGCCGCGCCGTTCCAGGCCAAATTGCGTGTTTGGTTTCTCTCTTAACTCGACTACTTAAAGGTGCTGTCTCTTGTATCACTGAAAGACGACAAAATTAAAAATTACTACTCTCAGGAAATGATAGCTTTTGTCGCTTTTTCTCGTTTGTAATTTTTTTTTTCTAAATCCGATATTTTTTTACACCTACTTTTAAAAAAATTGCAAAATTTGCCGCCCTCTAGATTTGTCGCCATGGGCCGCGGCCCATGTGGCCACCCCCTTAATCCGGCCCTGTAATAATAGGCTTTATTTTTGAGTTTTATTTTCAATTGGTTAAGGAATATTTAATAATATATGAAGGAATAATATTTTAACCAATCAGGAAACGTCATTGAAAATCCTCGGGAATTTTAAATGAAATCTTCGATACATAGGTCTTCGACCTATTGGTATAGTCTTGATCTATCGATCTTCGACATATCGATCATCGACCTCTTGTTAAAAAAATGAGGCAAAGCTCGCAAAAGGTCCTGGCTGATTTATAAAACGATTTGATAAATTGACTATCATCGAGTTACGGGTCACCAGAACCAGACTGACGTTTTCATCGTTTAGTACGTTGAAAATAAGGATTAGAGTTATTCAAATCTCCTGTAAGATTTTTTCGTGGCTGGTATAGCCAACCTCTACCCAAAGAACCTAAAATCGAAAGAAGGGATTGCGATTTAAAGTTTTGAGCGACCAGTCATAAGTCCTGAAAGTATGCTCTCCCATTAGCTGAAATCCACCCGTATCAACGTTTTTAAGCGCTTTAATTCAAACTTTTCGCTTATAGAAAAAACAATGATCTACTCTTTTTTTCAATTATTTTTCTTGTATTTGTTATTAATTCTTCTTTTCACAGATGTTTAATGTTTTTATTATCTATGAGAGGAGTTGTAACCATTAATGTTGATTTTGGATATTTTATTACCTATTTTTATTTCAAATTATTCAATCAATTGTTACGAATTTTATTTTATCTTTTCATTTAATGGGTTTTCATTTTTCATAATTTTCTTAAATGTGTGCTTAAATTCATACCTTGTTCAGCGGTACATTACAAGGCGAGAGGCAACATTCTTTTCGGTGAGATGATAGTCTGAACAATGTTACGTAACTTTAAAATATCGATGGCGAACTACAAGACTGCCGTGCTAAGGAAAAACGCCGTATGAACATTCGAGAGTTGCCAAATTTCCCTGGATAAAACATGTATTTTTGACGATATTCATTCATATTTTTCCTTGAAATTTTCAGGTATGTTACATTAAATTGCGTGCAAAATTGTCTGAAAATTTCGGGGAAAAATATTCACAATTTTCCCAGAATATTTTGATTTTATTGAAGAAAACTTGGCAATGGCTAAGTATGGCTCATTCGGCGTTCTTCCTTTAGCGGAGGCTTCCCTCAATGAAATTCGGTCAGAAGCTTCTGAGCTTGTTTTCTCAAAACTTCATTTTTGCACTTACTGCTCTGTTCGCTATCACGGCAGTGGTAGCTCCACCGTCGATATGCATTACTGACGATCCACGGAAAAACGAGTTTAGGGCTGGTACCTGCGCGGAAGGTCCCAGCCCTAACCGGGTAGGTAAAATTGATTTACCTCATACCCCATAGGGGCAGGCCCGGCGCGGGTAGAGCACAAACCTACGTGCTTCAGGGTTCAGCCCTACTTGGTAAGGGCTGGACCCTGTCCAGGTAGGGCTCGGCCCTACCCGCGCAGGGCCTGCCCCTGTGGGATATGAGGTGAAGCAATAGAGATGTTACATGTGAGAGGGATTGGCGATTTGACTGTTGATTCTTACGTAAAAGTTCGCGAGAAACACGACAGTGCCACTGGTTTTCTCTGAAATCAACTCTCAAGCTCAAAAAAAGCTCTCAAGTTGAGGCCATTATTGAGGGGATATCCCACGCTATCCTGAGAGTCCACCTCTACATCAAAACAAACTCTCCATGCAAAGATAGGGAGCAAATACATAGACAGGGCTGCCACTTTATTTGGGGACTCCAAAATTGAAAACGCGGCAACCCTGCTAATGTATTTGCTCCTTATCTTTGCATGAAGAGTTTGTTTTGACGTAGAGGTGGACTCTCAGGGTAGGGTCGGATATCCCCTCCATTTTGGCCTCACTTTGAGAGCTTTTCTGAGCTTGGGATATGATTTCAGAGAAAACCAGTGGCACCATCGTGTTTCTCGCGAACTTTTACATAGAAATCAACAGCCAAATCGCAAATCCCTCACACATATGCAACATCTCCATTCTAGGTCCCAGCCCTAATCTAACTTTTTCCGTGTCTGACAATCGATCATTCGGCTTTCAGGAATCTCCCCCGTCCACCCCCGAACACCCCTCCGATGCGAGGCTGGTGTTGAAATCGCTCATGGATAACAACCCCTGCAAGGACTTCAATACTTTCTCGAGGAGACTCTACAAAGCTCGAGCGGTGGGCGAGTGCGTGAACGCCTTCAAGGCCATGAAGCTCCTCAAGGACGAACTTCTGATCCCCGAGTGCGACGACGTCGACACCATCCAATGCACCGAGTCGTACCTCAATTGGTACTGCTCCGGGTACATCACCCGAAAACAACCAACCACCAGGGGAACCGAAGGGGGCTTTTGCAGGATTTGGTGGCAGGGGGGATCGTCGACGCCGAAGAGAGAGAGGGTTTGGTTGACATCCTGTTACGACCCAAAAGACTACAAGAGGAGCCAAAGCGAGTTCCAGAAGAGTCAAAGCAACTTCCAGAGGAGTCAAAGCGACTACCAGAGGAGTAAAAGCGACTACCAGAGGAGCCAAAGCCGTGGTTCTTCTGGGGAGAACGGTGGTCTGAGGTTAGGACCCGCAATGCCCTCGCAACGTGCTCCTCCGCGGTTCAAGGGGCACTATCTACCCTAGAAGGCGCACTAGGGGCCAGCGCTGCCTTGCTAAGGAAGAACGCTGTATGAGCCTTCAGATGTTGCCAAGTTTCCTCCGATAAAAACCGAAATTACTTGGAAAATTGTGAATATTATTTTCTCAAATTTTCAGACAATTTTGTACATAATTTAATCTAAAATATCTGACAATTTCAAGGAAAACTATGCATAAAATGTCTCAAAAGTACAGGTTTCATCAAGGGAAATTTGGCAACTCCCGAATGTTCATACGGCGTTCTTTCTTAGCACGGCAGAGCGGGGACAAGCCTAGGGTCGCCGGGGGGTACACGAGGTCGTAAGCAGAACACTTGGAGAATAAAGGATTGTTGCTCTTAAATTGTGAAAAAAAAGTCATTTATCAGGGTGTTGAGTTGTTTTTCTCATTTTGGGAATTCCTGATTTTTCCTGATTTTTGACTGCTAAATCCTGATTTCACGGGGCGAAAGCTATGTCTACGGACGGATTCCGTCCCATTCTTTGTATATTTTTTTTTGTAATATATATTGAATAAAGATAGAAGGGGAATGTCCCGGATATTTTAAAAAAAAAAAAAAAAATCCTGATTTCATAATTTTTCCAAACCCTGATCAAATTCTAATTTTTTGCGATGAAAAATTGTGAGAAAATTGGCGAATAACAAAACTCCACAAAAATAGTTAGATAAAAAAATCCGATCGGACAGCCAACTTTTCTCAAACCTGATTTTGCGACCGATTTTTCCTCAAATCCTGATGAAATCGAGTAGTGGGGCCGATAAGTGGAAAATATCATAAGAATCGTGCACTTCTGGAAGAAAGCATGAAAATTTCAGGGATTCATCTCTACCCTATAGACATTCGATTCAGACATAGACCCCAAAAATCTGAGCCCCCTGGGGGGGCAGGGGGGCCCCCAAATTTTGAATTTTGAATAACTACTGAACGGCTAATGTTAGCGTAATTTTTTTTAAGCAGGACGATAGGAAATTTTATCAGGAACAAAAATGGTTCTTATGAATTTTTCTGTGGGATCGATATTTAAGGCGTGAAACGGGAAAAACCATCGGGGGACGGGGAGCCGGCCGTTCTGAGGCAGATCCGCGCGCTGCGCTGTTTGCCCGGGACGCGCGCGGCGGCGCAGTACGGTGTTACCGACGAAACAGCCGCTTGTCTTGGTTTAATCTCAACGATGCGCAGTTTTAAAAATAATAATGAATTTACCGTACTGCCTAAATACTTTTCCTCAGTAATATAAGCTCTACTTTTTACTAGTAATACATAAAAACAAGCAAAAGCGAAATACTCCAATGTGAGAGCGCCGAGTCAATAGGAGGGATCGGTCATCGCGCATCACGCGTCTTGTTTTCTCTGAATGCAGAGCTTTTCCGACCTCAATACAGAGTAAATTACCCTTTCCTCACGTAAGTTTTGTACAGGATTACATTTTTTTAAGATATTAGAGCGAAATAACAAGTTTTAATACGATTTTGACCCACTTTTTCATGACTATTGGAAATGGCGGATCCTTCGTAACTTATTTTTAGCTTATTTTTCATGTTACTTTCGGCGAATGAGACAATGAGCTGCTTACATAACCATGAATTTTGCAAAACTTGGTAGAGATATTAATTGAGGAGTGTGGAGGGAGGGGAGGGGGGCTCCACAGTCCCTTCGCCACTATAAGGTTACCAGATTTCCTTCAAAATGAAGGAAATATCGTTTTTCGTTCATGTTCATTGGTTTCTCGCAATTGCATAGGTACTGATTCATACGGAACATTCCGACAATGTTCTTTTCTCCTCTTTTTCCCTCCAGCCAGTCAATAGAAGTTTTCATTTTCATGAACTCCCCATTTTTTCAGTTATTCAACAAATATGCATATTTAAAAAAAAATAGAACAATACATTAAATAAATGATAAAAAAGAAGATATCTGAATACTATCGCCTCTTTTTATCGAGTCATCCTTGAAGATATTATTGGTACTTACCACGACACATAGAAAATGGAATGAGCAGTAAAAAAAATCCATGTATATTATCTTACATTTTGTTGTATGGAATTTAGAGTGGAGTTGGTAACATTTGTATTGAAAAAAATATTAATATAGGAGGAAATTTATTTATCATGCAGGTTCTGATTCTTTAAAGAACCTCTGAGAAGGACCAGGCCTCAGGAAGAAATTCATTGCATTTCTTCTTTTTCAACCCGCAAATCTCGTACCGATTTTTGATTTGTATGGAGCTCATGGAAGAGTTCTAGGTAAGTATGTCGGAGACAATTTTCAAGAAACGGGACTTGCAAAATATGCAATGCACAAAACGTACACCTTAAACTTTATCGTACATTATAACACTGATCGAATTAGCTTTAGAGATTATCAAAAGGTTAATTTATCGTCAAAATATCAAAAAATCAGTCAAAATCAGTAATCAGTAATCAGTTGCAAAATTACCGAGATTGCGGAATATCGTACCTATGATGCGCTGACATAAGAGCAGGATAGGTTCCCAGTACTTAGGCGCGACTTCCTATCACTCAAATGGACCGTTTTGACAGATTAGCGGATACGGCGGCTAGTTATTACTTAATAATATTCTTTGTACTGTACAAGAAGCAGTCCAACAAAGGTTTTTTGGGGGTCATTTATCCCTATCAAGCTTTCTCAAGATTCTTTTGCCGTTTTTTTGGAGCAAGTTTTGAAGGTGGTTTTGGTCCTCTTAAAAAAATGCCTATACGTAGCAATGATGTACCAAAATGTTCCTGAAAGAGAGGAGAATAAGCATGTTTTTATGTATGCTCATTGTTTACAAAATTAGGCTCCCTGTCTTAAGTAAGCATATTTAGATACCATCCTGATGTCGCAGCACCGAGAGAAAGAGAAAGAAAAACACTTTAAAATCATTTTTCAGGTCATCGTGGTACACAAATAAGATTTGTGACTTTTAGCCCCCCCCCCCTTCCCGAGACAACTGTGCCTCAGATTTTATTCCGTTCAACTGATGTCTGATGCAGTTATCTCGGATGCTGTAATAAAACTTGACAAACCCATACAACAAAACAATTCGGAACTCCAGCACTTAACCCCTTCTCTTTCTGTTGCCGTGCGCTCGCTTGTATACATATATTACCTGCATAAGTTAAGCCCTATTTTAAGGCTTTATAGGTAGTACGATATATTCACAATACTTTTAAAACTGCGCATCGTTGAGATTAAACCAAGACAAGCGGCTGTTTCGTCGGTAACACCGTACTGCGCCGCCGCGCGCGTCCCGGGCAAACAGCGCAGCGCGCGGATCTGCCTCAGAACGGCCGGCTCCCCGTCCCCCGATGGTTTTTCCCGTTTCACGCCTTAAATATCGATCCCACAGAAAAATTCATAAGAACCATTTTTGTTCCTGATAAAATTTCCTATCGTCTTGCTTAAAAAAAATTACGCTAACATTAGCCGTTCAGTAGTTATTCAAAATTCAAAATTTGGGGGCCCCCCTGCCCCCCCAGGGGGCTCAGATTTTTGGGGTCTATGTCTGAATCGAATGTCTATAGGGTAGAGATGAATCCCTGAAATTTTCATGCTTTCTTCCAGAAGTGCACGATTGTTATGCTTATCGGCCCCACTAGAGGTTAAATCCTGATTGACCTTAAATCCTGATAGGATCGGGAAAATGTTGATGCTGACACGCTGTTTATTCGGAGTTAAATTGATCGGTTAAAAAAGGAGGATTGCATATGATAGCGAGCCAGAGTGAATAACTCAGGATCAGTACCGTAGCGATGAGGGATTTTTGCACCTGAGGCAATCTCTCCGTTAGGTGTTTTCTACGCCCACGGCCACGGAAGGGAAGGCAAAGGACCTTAATAGAGTACCTTGTAAAAACGAAACTCCTAAAAATGTCAGGAAACTAAGCGTTTTGAAGATTCTTCAAAATAAATAAGAGGGCATTCGCCAAATTTCAAGACTGTAAAATTTTGGAAAATTTCGTTGAGGAAAGAAAAATTACTTTTTGGAAATGTAATTTTCATTCATGAAAGGCTATTTTAGCACAAATATTTCATGGCCGCTCTGACGTAAGGGCGTTTCTCAGATTCCACGTTAGCCCTGATTAAGGTGATTCGATGGACGCCATATTTTGTGTCAGAACGGCGTGCGATGTATCGCATCAATTGGCTCCATTTTTTCCGCTACTTGTCATTTTTCTCCAAATCTTCGTAATTCTGTTGTTAGGAGATTAAAGCACTCACTTACCAATTTTAACAATGAAATTCAACGTAATAAAGGCGTGGTTTTTTTAGAGAGAAAACATCGCATTCGATACTGATATCGAAACTGCACTCGAATGCGATATTTTCTCTCTAAAAAAACCACGCCTTTATTACGTTGAATTTCTTTGTTAAAATTGGTAAGTGAGTGCTTTGGTCTCCTGACAACAGAACTGCGATCCCAAAATTGGAGAAAAATGAAGAGTAGCTGAAAAAATGGAACCAATTGATGCGATATATCGCATGCCGTTTTGACACAAAATATGGCGTCCATCGTATCACCTAAACACATTTGCTTTCTAGGGCTCACGGGGAAATCGAGATACGCCCTTACGTCAAAGGAGCGACGATTTGAAGGTGAGCCGTGACATACCCTAGGGAGAATTTTTCAACACCGTATAATACCTTGGGATCGGTAAAATTTTTGAGAGTGTTTGCAGTGAGGCGAGTTTGGACACCGAAGCCAGCTTCGAGACCTTTGAAATTTTTAAAATTATTCGACTTTCAAAAAGTTACTGATGAAACTTTTAAAAGTCCCAGAAAGTGCACGATAACTCAAAAATTAATGTAAACTCCACCAAAAACAATGTGCATCACGACGACACTGCCTCCTTGATATTGGCGCCTGAATGATGCGACTATTGCTACTTCAAAGCCACTTATATTGCATATTCAAATAATTGAAGGCGTCCTGCCTTTTCATCACTTCGTGCACTGGGCAATTCTAGCAATGAGTCGCTTGCCAGGCAATGTGCAGAAACAGAGCACTACGTATCAACGCCGCGAGAGCATTTATTCGTTTAACTGAATGTTCAGAATTTTCAGTATTTAATAATTCAGTTTTATAACTTTAGAAACTCAACATTAAAAACTTGAGTCGTGGTTATTTCAGTTACTCTCCAGTGATTTTATATTGCTACTGACAAATTGTTTGATCAAAAGCGATGGGCGAATGTGTATATTCTGAATCTGAAAGTAAAATTGAGTTATTAATTTTACTTCTAATTTTTTTCCGTACCTGTATCTTTCAATCAAGATGAATTCTGTCAACTTTTTTAAACTTAGAAAAAAATTTAAAGCCCATTTGGAGCCCAAGTAGCATTTGACAAATTATACAAATTACAAAAAGACGAATTATATTGCCAATATTTATTGAGGCACAGGTATAGTTGCATTAGATGATTTGGTCCTATGTCAACAGAAACTTAAAATTTGCCTCAACTTCATGGATTTTTAGGATTTTATTAGATAATTTGCAGGGAATTGGTTGGAAAAGTTGATTTTGTTGATGCTTGATGAAAATGCTTCCAATTAGCAGTTTTTAATACCCCTTCAAGTCAATCTGATGAATTAGAATACTTCCACCTCTACTGACAAGGAAGAATCACACTTGGATGTTAAACAACTAATCACTGAATAATTGATACATGAGTACTGTTGCTCAGTCCACTGTAAACTTGCACAGATTTATTTTTTCGGTAAAGAGTTTACCTTGAATCCCATTCCTTCTCAGATACATCACAAAAAATTGTTTTTCTTGAAGGGATAAAGAATTTAGAGCAAAAATTTTGCAATAGAATAATTTTATTTACATTTTATCACTTACACAATACGTAGTTTTATAAAGTTCTTTTATATTTGTACAAAAATGAAAAACGTGCAATAAAACTACCATACAAACATTGATATCAATGAAATTATCTAACCAGGTTTGGGGTTGAAATCCAGGGGATATAATGAAACAAGGCTAAGTTAGACAGTGCATCATTGCCGCTGTCTCTTTCATTATGCGGAGCATATTAGTGCGCACAGATGGAGAGGGTGAGCAGACTTCAATTAATCCTTTCATTCCTGTGCTTTCATTACTCTTAGGTATTGCTATTTTTCATTCAAATGGGCCATTAGACACCGCTTGAACTAGAAAAAAAGTCAAAAAGTTCTTAACTTAATTAAGTTCATGCCAAATAAGAAAGGAGCGGAAGATTTTCTTGAAGTCCACCACACTGCTGAGGAACAAAGAATGAAAGGGTCGCCTTAAAATTTCTCCTACTTATGATTGAATTTACAATAGCAATTTTCTTGACATCGATCACAAATTGTATCTCCCGTTCCTTACAGAAATTTGTATCACAAGAAGAGAATACACATGAATTACAAGAATAAATTATGATACAGAGGATAATCCAGATAGGTACAAAATAAATAAATAAACAAACTGATAGAAGATACCTTGAGAGGTCTTTGAAGATAATAATTTACAATTAACGCCCGAAAACACTTCTTTGAAAAACTTCGTCTGGAGACGATCATGCATTTTTTGATAGGATAAAAATAGAATGACTATCAATTATACTACAGATTTGAAATTATTTTTTTTTCCTTTTAAAAAATTAAGTGAAAATAATGAAACTCACGAGTCCCTGAAATTTTTTGATGTAAGGCATAATGTTAGGATTGGGAAGAAATTTGGAAACAAAAGCTTCCGTTCAAAATAAGACAATACACAGAGTACAAAATTTACGAGCACAAAGCCAATAAATATAAATGGAACAACTTTAGTTGAGGTTTAATACATACATTTCCCTATTTTTACGAAAAATTACACTACTCACGAGACATGAATAATTACGGTAGTCAAAACGAAGCCAAACTTTAATTACATCAGTTATTTAGTTTATAGATATGTAGAAAAAATAGAAATAGAACTGAATTTCTACCAAGGAAAATCCAAGGAAGTTAATCATTAGGAGAAGAATCGACAATGCTGCCTTGTTTAGGAAAAACGCAGTATGAACATTTGGAAGTTGCCAGATTTCTGCTAATAAAATGCTTATTTTTCAGGAAAGTTAGGAATATTTTTCCGTGAAATTTTCTGATGCATTTGATTAAATTGCAAAAAGATTCTCTGAAAAACTGAGGGAAAAATTTGGCACCATCTGAAGGCTCATACGGCATTTTCCCTTCACACAATAAAAAGAGGTAGAGAAAAGACCAGAAGGTTTTCTTTTTTTTGACTGAGGTGACACTTGAAGCATAATACTTACAAAACGTTAGAAAACAATTAGTGGATTTTTTTTTTTACGTTTGAGCAAATTTAAAAATTACTCTTTGATGCATACTTATTTAAGCAACAGGAAACAGAGCCAGAAATTATAAGAACTAAAGACTTCGTTCGATTCTGAAAAAATAATCAGTATCTAAAAGCACATTACCTAAAGTCATTTCAAAAAATTGTTCGCACCAAAATTTCTAAACTTATCTCCGACAACTTGAGAATGGACCACTAAACAAGGTACATCTTTAAGCAATAAGATACATGTAGTCTCATCAAAATTTTACAAAAAACACAATTTGTGCAACGAAAATTGTTGAAAGTAACTTCTAACAAAGATATCAATATTTTCCAATGTATAAATTCAAACTTACTGCTCCTGAAAAACCTTTATCTACTTGCGTTGAATAGCACACTAAACGTTAAAGAAACAGTCTCCATGATATGAAATTAAGGCAACCTCAACTCGGCGCTTCAGCTTAGCTGTTGTACGTTGTTAAAATATGAACAATGCACAACAGGAAAGGAACACTTCTCGATTCAGTAGCCTACCAAAACCATTGTGGTGCGAGATTTGATTGATGTACTCTGTTTTCATTAAGGAGCACGAAATTCACACTTTTCTTAACTAGTGATACATAAGAAAGGTAATATCTTGGTTATGAGTTCATTTCAGTAATTTTTGTTGTGCAAATCAAGTTCTAGGTAAAATTTCAAAGAGGAATCATATGTCAGAATGCTTGAATTCGAGCCTCATCTGATAATCCATTCTTCCTAATTATACAAAGAAAAACTTTGGGATGAAAATTTCAGTCAATAAGTCAAATAAATATGCTAATGATTCTATGGTTAAGTTACAAAGAAGTCTTGTAGCTCATATCTCTAGAGTTTTGACGTTTCACGCATTTTTCCTAACTTTTCAGTTTCCAGTCAATTCTATTTTCTAGGTCAAAAAAATTGAAATTTACATGAGAGAATTTCCAAGATTTCCAGTTAAAAGATCATTTGGGTCATACTTTGCAATTGGGAACTACTATTTCTGGCTCAACCATGAAAGCACCTATCTGCATAGGGAAACTAATGACTCAAGCATTGTTTTACGATGAGCCACAAATAGTGGCTCCTTGTCACAAAATTTAGTCCATTTAAATGTCACACCTTTGCTGCTACACATCACAAAACTTCCTCCATGAAATTGAATTGTTTCTCACCTTACAGATTGTTCCACTGAACTGAAGTAAGAAAATTGAATATTAATGCTGCTACAGGACAAATCTGTACGTAACACTAAACTGCAAACTAAGATTTACAAGACTATTAGTATTCATTCCTTTAATGGGTTAATTTTTTGAGGGTTTAAAAACACAAGTGCATTCTTAGACAAGGATTCGAGCAACGATCAGACTTCAAATGTTTTGCGCTGAAGTGCAATTGCCATGCCCACTAACAAATTTAGGGAGAGAGAGAAACATATTTCATAAAAGTAGTAAAACTTTGACCGCATAGGATTATAAGGAATGGCGCCTAACTAAGAGAAAAGCAGATATTCATAACTTAGGAAGAAGAAAATTGCCATATTGGACCACTGAATGAATAACCTTAGAAAAATATACGTAGAGTTAAAAATTACTTTTTAGACAGTACTCTTACCTACGATAAATGCAAAAAATTAAGACCAACAGCACATCCAGGGTCCTTCAATTTTTTGTCTCAGTTCAAAGGATTTGGATCTCAGTCGAAAATTTTTGCTAAATGAAAGACACAAGGAATCTAGGGTTGTTCAAAGACACCAAAAGTTTTCAAAGATTTGCTTCCTAGGCATTTCCCTGTGTTTAGGGGTACCTAAAAATTTAGGCCTTTTAAGTGAAGCCTAGACACTTGCGCCACCGCTACCATTTTTCCTTGAAGAATTACATGGGTTTCCACTTGGAATTCAATTTTGGTGTACTAATTGCAGCAGAAGAATCAAGTCCTAAGTTTTTTTGGAAAAAACTCATGTGAGAGACATTTGCAAACGAGGAGATCGCACTGAAAAATGTTGGTATTTTGAACAACCCTGCAGGAATTACTAGAAAGAGTAAGACTGGAGCATCATAAGCCACGTTTCCTCACCAGGAGTTCATGCAAGACACATTGAACAGATAGAAAATTTCAAAAATCGTAGTTAGAGAGGTGAGGTTTAATTCATATGAGGGAAATTAGCATTCACTGTTTGTTGAGTCATTTCAAACTCATTGCTCGCTAGTAAAACCAAAATCGGCATACACGAAAATTTGCTTCTGAAGTTAAATTTTTATATTAGCTGATAATGCTGGCTGAGTTTATAACAAATATCTTTAGAGTAAGTGTTGACTTTTGAAAAAAAATTTGGTCCATGGAGGTCATTGTTCTTTCACAAAACACACTCTTTGTACACTATTTGCTTTATATTGACTATGGTTTTTGGGCGAGCAGGAAGTTTGAATTGATAAATATTGGAATTGCTATATTCTCACTCACTTTCTTTTCAGAAATTTTGAGAATCCGATTTGTTCAACAAGAAATTTAGATGAGTTAACATCTATTGAGATGCTTGCTTTCTGAACTTATCTGGTGTTTCACTGTTTCCTAGATACGAGACTCAATTAATTAATGACAAAAAAAGAAAAGAAACATCAATCCGAGATCAAAAGGTGCTCCTAAAACTGAGCAAACCTTAGCTTCATATTTCTTCAGAGCTGCTTTTAGATTCTTAGTGTTTAGCTCTATTCCACAAAAACAGCTGCACCTGCCTACTGAGTAACTATTTCACTCAAAATCAAACTTCTGATAGGCTAACTAAATCTTTCAGACCATACGAAAACCGATCGTTTTGTTTAAATCGTTTAATTCATCCTCTGCGTACTGTGACTTTTGTGACTTGGAGATAAAATTTTGATCTTGGTCCCTCTGGATGTGCTTTCAGTACAAAAAAGCTAAACTTTAAGGGTTAGTACACGCTGACTGCCGAGAGAAAGGAGTTTTAAGGGTAAAAACTCCGCTCTACAGCAGAACGGTTTGTGACATGTTACAGTACGAAGAGACAGTTAAAAATTAGAAAAATAGATGCGACTTGACAGAAATTTAAGAAAAAATCTAGGAGTAAAAAAAATTAAAAAATATCATCTGGAATAGAGCAGCTTCTGGCAGGCTCTGAGAGCTCTGTTGGTACGGCCGATCGAGTTTGCTGAACATTCGACTGGGCGTGGACCATCGTCACAAATTTACACCGTGAAAACCACACTGGATGATCAATCCAGGGTGATTTGTGGGAGCATCAGGCTTCTCCTGTTCAGCCACATTCTGAAAAAAGAAGAAAAAAATATTTTAAAAAAGCCACTTTTGCTTTACCTCCTGTAAGCTCACACTGTCAAAACATGGCCTAGTCCTAGTCACGTCATCACGACTGCTGCTTTCTGGTCGGTCAACTTTTAATAAATTTCATCCCCTTCTTAGACATACTTTCCTAAACTTTGTAATATAATTTTTGGTTTTTTAATGAAGTATTACGTTAGGAACAATTGTCAGATACTCTGCAGCAATATGCAAGTGACCCATTTCCTTTTTAAGTGGGATGTCTTTCTAAACATTTTTATCAGCGTCTGATTCTTTTTTTCATTCCCTAACGACCGCTAGTTACCGCTAAAGATTATTATTATAATTATTGGTAAATAGCAAAATGTAAGTACTTAGCACTGATTAGGGCTGCTCGAATCATACTTGAACTGTTTGAGGAGGATATCAGTATCTGAATGTCGAGTAGGTATTTCAGAGAGCACGCTATTTCTTTCTATGAACTGTCCGGTAAAATGCTTTAAAAGTAAGAATTAGTGAAGATAAAATTAATTATAATGAAACTCACCCAATTCCAGTGCCTAATAGGAGAGAGATGAAGTTCGTGAGGAATAGCGTGTAAAGGACTTCTTTCGAGAACAGACTATTTTTTCCTACTTTAGCGTGCCGGATTGTGTAGATTTTCTTCTTTGGGTGCTTGAACTTCCAATCCCTGGAGGAGAGAAAGATTAGAATTAGAATTATGAAGGAGATTATTGTAATCAGTCATACAATCATCAACAGGCCGAATATCAATCTCGGCAGAGGAAAATATGGTTTAAAAAAAAAACAAAAAAACCAGAACACAGAAAAAACCCAGAAGAATCAAAATCTATGTAAAAAATGAAGTTGCAATCTAAAAGATACACAGGGGGGCAATTGAAATTATGAGTTTTGACCAACGATGACCTTAAAAATGCCTCCCCCCCATCCCATTAAGTGGGGGATTATGCAAAAATTTAGACAGCTTACTTGGTATAACTCAAACAAAAAATTACACTGTGCTCTAACAGTATAAATTATATTTCTGGCCTTCGTAGCCAGATATCCGTTGAAATTTTTTGGGCAGAGTGATGAAACCATATTAGGGATTGATCAAATTAGAAAATAATGAAATTTCATTTTTTTTACTGCTTTGGTGATAAGTTTTGGATACGCATTAAATGTCTGAATGATTGAAACTCATGGGCTGAAATACAAAGAAGGAGCAAATAATTATTCGATGCTTCTTAAATCTTGTATAGATTGGGATAAGAACAGCTGATACCTAAAAAAAAAATGGAAGCACTACATATAGCTACTGATCTGTCGTGTTGGGTAGAAACGCTGTATGAGCCTTCAGACGTTCCCTTTCCTTTGACAATTCTTAAGTTTTTGGGAAAATGTATAAATATTTGTTGTATTGAGATTTTCAGCTTTACGCTGAATTTTTGACGCACGATGGCTAAAAAACTCCAACATACTGTCTTACGACCCGTGCGTCCACCGCAATCAGTTTGTGTAATATTTATTCATTGTTCGTAATTTGATCTAAAATATCTGAAAATATGCACAACTTTCTTCAAAAATAAATACTCTCCGAGAGACAATTTGGCAAAATTTGAATGCTTATCATGCGTTTGTCCTTGCCATGGCAGTTACAGGGCCGCATTAAGGGGGCGGCCACATGGGCCGCGGCTGATGGCGGCAAATTTTGCAATCTTTTGGAATGTAGGTATCAATAAATAAGAGAAAACAATCGGATTCAGAAAATAAATTACAAACGAGAAAAGGCGACAAAACCTCTCATTTCCTGCGAATAAAAGTATAGTAATTTCTAATTGTGTCGTCTCTCAGTGATACAAGAGTCGCCGAATTCGAATTAAGTCGAGAAAAGAGTCAAGTCGAGTTTAGTCGGCTTAAGAGTTCGTCCTTCGTCGAGTTAAGAGAGAAACCAAATACGCAATTTGACCTGGTACGGAGCGGCGCGGCGGTCGGCATGAAACATAAAGCGCCTACTAGACTGCATGAATACTTCACGCATTGCGTCAAATACACTGCGGTCAGCAGCAGTCGGCCTCGGCTTGAAACGCATAGCGCCTACAAGACTACATGAATACTTCACGCATTGCGCCAAACAGTGTGGTCAGCAGCGGTCGGCGTGAAACGCATAGCGCCAGCGCCTCCAAGACTGCATGAATAGTCTTAAAGTTAATTTATATTTAATAATGAAATCTTTTGATGACTTGAAAAATTAAAAAATAAAAACACAGCGTGGGAACTCACTTGGGAGGGAGTGAATCAGGGCGACTGCTCCAGTTCCAAATCCAGTCTGTGTCATTAGCAGTGAATTCACCATCCTAAAACACAAAGAAGAGGAAAAATCTTAGCAAAGACTCACATTTAAAATAAGCTTGAATAGACTTCCGATTATAGTTCTTAAAATTGCAGGAGCCGAATATGCAATACGCACAGAATGCAGAGCAGGAGGATAACATTTCAGCAATTTTGAAGATATAATTTTTTCTCTTTGTAATTAGGTTATTGCCTTACTGTTTGGATGAGATTGAACTAATCATAGGTAAAACCTGGAGGATTCAAATAGATGAATAAGCTACTGTACTTAAAAAGTATTAACAATTTCACATGAATTTCAGAAGAACGACATTTCGCATGAATTTTTTTAATCAACAGAGTGACAGATTTCCTTGGATTTCGAAAAATCGTGGCTTTTCAATTTTGACATGAATTCTCACGAAATTTTTCACATAAAATATTCAGCTTCAAGTACGGCCATAAGCGCACCACATCAGCCTATTTTTCGCGACCAATAAAAAGCCAGCGCATGAATGGCCAAACTCAGTCTACATAAGTACTCCGGTACGCAGGATCCACCTTATGAAAACTTAGCGAGATCACTGCGCTATCTGGTAACAAATCGCTCATCCAACTTTGCTGGCGACCAGACGGAATTGTCCATCGGCCGCAGACTCTTCCAAGCTTGCTAAGTTAGGCGATAAAATAAATGTATTTCTAAGAAGAAAAGTACTGATTTCCCAGCACTGGCTGGGTACAATGGATGGAGCCTCCTCTCTCCGCAGCAACGCCCGGTCAAAACAACGGCGTAGTTTTCGGCTGCACCACGCGGGCCCGAGCCCGGGAGGAGGGGGGCACTCGGTCATGAGATAAGCGTGAATAAAAAATTGGACCGAAATTATTCCCGCGGCCTTGGGAAGAGAGATCCAGCGCCACACAGCGGTCCGAGTCATTAGGAGAGGTCGGACAATATTCGGAAACTTTAAAGGCTTATAACTCCTTTGAAACAAAACTTGGAGGTTCTAAAAGTGGGTTCGTTGGTTATCTCGAGAAATTTTCTTCCAAAATCACCCTTTGAACTTTAAAATGCGACGAAATAAACATCAAAATTTTCAGTTTTAGTCAAAAATTTCAAGTCCGACCACACAAATTGACTCGATCCACTGTGCGCCGCATGACCGCGGGCGCGGCGAGGTGGGCCACACAACATCAACAAATCCGAAATTACCGGACCGTGGCAAAAGGGAGGATGCGGGACACGCCATCCAGCTTCGGTTACAGTTCTGACATTCTACGGAGGACAGCCGTAAGTGCATTCGTCGATGAACAACCCGCTGGGTGGCGTGAAACGAAACAAACTTACGGAAGATTGAGAGTTTCCTTGAAATAAAAATTTTATGTACTAAATTCTCAGACTAAGATTGTGAGCGCTGATTGGACCACAGTAAACAGGAATTTCCGAGGTATTTTTTGCTCTCCCTCCCCCTCCCCACCAAATTTTGTCATCCCCAGACAATTTTTTCGCAACTTTTTGAACATTTATGTACGTAAAATACTCACGCATCTACTAGGACCTTCGTCAATAGATATACAGTCGAAGTCACAGTGGAAGCGTGAGTTTTTTACATAAATGTTCAAAAATCAAGTAACAGATATTAATATTTTTAGAAAAATTCATCTAGAGTGCAGCATTTAAAAAAAAAAAAAAAAATCCCTGCAGTCTCAAAAGAACGACATGATACGGAGTGCGAAGCAAATTCCTTCAAATTTTCAAAGAAATCCGCACAAACGTTTTCTTCTAAAAGATTAAATTGCCCTGTCAGTAGCTGATGTGGCTTGCTCCATTTGTGATAGGAAAAGTTGCTTTCGCAAGACTGGTATCGTTTTTCAGAAATTGGCAATGGAATGTATCTCTGTTGAAAGATAAGGGAATGTTCGTCAAAATTGTTGAATTATTGATGGCTGACAGCAAGTCATTTTCCCTATGGAATTAGCTTGTGTCGTTCATCTCGAGAACTTTTGACGGTTTTGAAACTTGAAACGTCGCGAAATTCCGAAGCCGCGTCCCTTTTTTTGCAATTAGCAGTTCAACGTCTGCTTCCCGTCACTTCCCCTCCTCCTCATATCCGTCTGGGCGGGCCTATTTTATCTCTCTCCTCATTGTCAGATCGAAGAACAATGCTTGTCTTTTGCTGTTTTCAAGGAGATGTCTTGGTTTCCTGTATTTTTTCTCCTTATCCCCCTAGTATATTGCACACGAGAGACACAAGGTGATGTATAGACTTTTTACAAGTAAAACGGCATAAAAAATTCGGTGGGCTCATCAAATATGTCAAAAATTAGACGTCTTCACGAAAACTTTGCATAAGTGCCCATAAGTCTTAAATGCGCATTTTCAAATTTCCCGCTTTCGAAAGCGCATTTTTTTTTTTTTTTTTTTTTTTTTTTTTTTTTTTTTNTTTTTTTTTTTTTTTTTTTTTTTTTTTTTTTTTTTTTTTTTTTTTTTTTTTTTTTTTTTTTTAATCATTGTCGCGGCAACCTAACTTCCTTCGAAAGAGATGTATTTAAAGAAACCTAACATAAAAACGCAAAAAACCTCTCATACATACCTCTCTTTATTTTTATCAATGTGCTCTCACGTCTGATTCCTGCCGTGCATACTTTCCCTTACGTACAGAAAAAAAAAAAAAAAAAAATTTGAAACTGCATGCGTTCAAAAGATCGACAGTAAATTCAGTGATTGTTCACGGTTATGTACGTATCTTTCTCTTGGTATCTAAACCTGGTTTCCAATGGTGAAGTAATGGCTCCTACTATTTGAACCTATGGAAAAGGATCGATAATCAGGATGTTCTCAGAACACCTTAATAATCGATTATTTACCATAGCTCCAAATTGGGAAATAGCTATCCTCGATACATTCACGCTTCGCCACTTTTTTGAGTGGTTTTACTATTCAAAGTTCATTAATTTAATCGTATTTCTCGTGAGCAACTGCAGAACATTGTACGAAGAAAAACATAATAATAACGAAAGCAATATGCAGAAACTTGCTTTTTTCCCCATTTTTCCTTTGGAGTAAAAATCCAATTTCCTCACAACAACGCAAAGTGCATCGAGTCAACAGGAGAGGTCGGAGAAAGGAAACTTTAAACGTATGTAACTCCGTTTATACAATTTTTGAGGTTCCAAAATTGATTTCATTGTTTTTCTCGTAAAGTTTTCTTCTAAACGCACCCCTTGTAATTCAAAATGTAACGGAATAAACGTAAAAATTTGCAGTTTTAGTAAAAAATGTCATATTCCATTCATCGACCTTACTGATTGAATCGATCCACTGTGCGGCGATGCGCGAGAATCACTGGTAAAAAAAACCTCTTGGTTCAAGAGTGCAGTTTCTTGTCGCCGGTTTTAAGAGTCTGGACTCTTGTTTCAATGCAAAATCCGCTTGAATCGATGAAAAATCCGCTTGAATCAATGCAAAATCCGCTTGAAACAAGAGTTCAAGACTCTTTAATCCGGCGACAAGAAACTGCACTCTTGAGTCAATACAATGCGGCATTGGTCCAAGAGGTTTTTTTTACCAGTGTGAAGCATTTTATCACCTAGTTTGACATCGGTGCTGCATCCTACGTCCAGACACCCATCAAACTCATCACTCATTAAGTTGGTGACAGATCTGTGACAGACGTAACCCCTCATCCCTCTATTTCAGTTTCAACTTCCTGACTCGCTGTCCCGCGTCTCGCGCAGATATTGTCTGGCCGCGGAAGCAAAAACGTCGATTTTGAATTCAGGACAAAATTCTAAGCAGTAAGAACCGAGAGTCAGGTCATACGAACCGAATTAGTACGGCCGATTCAAACAACCGTATTTATATTACAGTCCATAAGAAAGACCTGACTACTTTCCTCAGGGCAGGAAAATTCCGAGACTTGGCAAATGATCATTGATCTTTAGAAAACGCTTGGAGAGGTTGGACAAGATTTGCAAACTTTAAAAGCTCATGACTCCGTTTTTACAAAATTTTGAGGTCTTAAATTTTCTAAAATAATCACCCCTCAAACTTTAAAATTTGACAAAGTAGACATCTAAATTTGCAGTTTCAGAAAAACAAATTCATGGCCGACCTCTCCCATGGTCCAATGGAGATGTTGCATGTGTAAGGAATTAGCGATTTGACTGTTGATTCTTATGTAAAAGTTCGCGAGAAACACGATGGTGCCACTGGCTTTCTCTGAAATCGACTCCAAAGCTCAAAAAAAGCTCTCAAGTCGAGGCCAAAATGGAGGGAATATCCCACCCTACCCTGAGAGTCCACCTCTACATCAAGACAAACTCTCACATGCAAAGATAGGGAGCAAATACAATAGCAGTGATGCCGTGTTTTCAGTTTTTGAGTCCCCAAATAAAGTGGCAGCCCTGTCAATGTATTTGCTCCCTTTCTTTGCATGGAGAGTTTGTCTTGATGTAGAGGTGGACTCTCAGGATAGCGTGGGATATGCCCTCCATTTTGGCCTCAACTTGAGAGCTTTTTTTGAGCTTGGGAGATGATTTCAGAGAAAACCAGAGGCACCATCGTGTTTCTCGCGAACTTTTGCATCAGAATAAACAGTCAAATCTCGAATGCACACACAAATGCAACATCTCCATTGTGCGACAAAACAAAGCTGAGTATGTACGAGGGGTTGGGATCAACCCGTCAACGACCCTTGCAATTTTTCGCGTGCCGCTACCGCGGAGACCCTGCGCGCGCACGTGTTCCCTGCGTGTCTCGCACACACGTGCAGGGGGTGGTTGTTACGGACCGCGGAGAGACGTAATTTATCGAACGACATCCAAGCTCGAGCGCAGCATCGTTACGGTGGCGGCAGTAACGCTGTCCGCCGCGGCAAGGCGCAGGGCGGCGTTAACCTGAGCTGCAGTTCATGGCCAGGGCCAAATTTAGTCCCGCCCACCCCCTCCTACCCTGTTGAACGCAGGTTTGTGTGCCCACGCAAGCGCTGCCGTGCTAAAAGAAAGAACGCCGTATGAACATTCGAGA